AGCATTAGTTGGAGCATCAGAGTTGATTTGAGGACGAATTGGAACTCACCCAATTCTAGGGTTTCGCACGGGTTTGAGAAAATTGGAGCCTTTCCAGGCCAAATTGGCCTTGGCCTCAGGTATAAAGTTTACTCTACTCATTGAGATCTTCAATTCTATATTTTTTGAGAATTTTTGGAAATAGTTGGATTTTCCGGCGAGCCGGGGCGGCCAACCGCAACCCAGGGCGGCCCGTGCGGCGGCGCATGGACAATGGCCCGCCAATGTCATTCTTAGCATGTGTTTAAGGTTCTAGGTTCAGTTTTGATAATTGATGGACGTAAATTGAGTAATTGAACCTAAGTTCGTTACGATTCGTGGTTAGGTGAAAATGTGAATTGACGATCCGACCGTTGGATCGTCACCAAACTTTGATACATTGTAATACGTAATATTTTAGGATTATAGGAACTTACGGATTGGGAATCTGATTTACGGATCTTCCGGAATTGGAGTTGTAAGTTCATAAAATAGAATGTTAACTGTCACTCGGTTTCGACAATTGACGGAGATCCGACCGTTGGATGGTAATGAAATTTTAGGATGTTGTCCTAGAGGTATATTGTGGACCTTTGGAAGTTATGGATTGGAAATCTGAGTTGTAGATCTTCCGGATCGAACTGCGTAGTGACATGTTTTATATAAGTTATATATTCTATCGATATGATTTATGAGGTTGGATTTGATTATTGTTCTAGGCGCGGATCATCATGACACCTTGATGTGTTGTGCTAGGGAGTTGTTGGGCGAACTCCATGTGAGTGGGCAGTATTTCTGTTTATACCTATATACTATTGATATTTTCCCCAAAAATTGAGTTTAATTGAAAGTACGTTTTAAAATGCCATGCATGCATATTATGAGATATATGAATTGATAATTGATGCATATATATATGTGAATTGGTGCTGTGGATGCACATGTGAGTTTTATGTTATTCTTGTGAATCATTGATGATGTGAATTGTGTTGAGAGCTCATAACCTGCACCCCTGGTGTTAGTGCTTATATTATTCATCGCACCGCACGCTCACCTTGGATCCAAGTAGGTGCATGTCGTACAGACCATGAGAGTGTTCCGACATGCTAGTCGTACAGACCACTATAGGTGGTTCCGACTAGTAGGTGACCTTAGATTATGTGCACAGATGATTGATGAGAGAAGCACTAGAGCGTATTCTTACACCATTCTTATTGTACAGACTACTTTAGGTATTTCCGATTTATGTGCAGAGTAGTGTCATACAGGTCACAGTGGTGACTCCGGTTAGATTGGATATTGAGCTATAGAATTAACCGTACAGGACCAACTGTAGGGTCTCCGGTTGATTCCTTATTTCACCTGTTATAATGTTGCATCCTTATTATGTTTTGATGCATAGCATGGCATATTTTTCTTGAAAAGTGTTAAAGCTTTGTGAATTGAGTTTTGAGATTAATTATGGTTATATATATATATACTATTTTCTGGGAAAGTATACAGGTTTTACAGAGAGGGGTTAGAAATGTTGTTAATTGAAATGTTTTCGAAAAACTTTGTTTTACTGACCCACTCAACTTTGTTTTGCGCCCCTTCAGGTTCTAGATAGCAGAGCTTTGGTGGCCACGAGGAATCCAACGGTGTTCTGACAGAATTCACAAAAGTAGGACTCACCCTCGGGTGTTTTATCTTAGTAATTGTATCTTTAAAGCTTCCGAACTGTGTAAATGGTTACGTCACACTCACGTGATGGCCAGCATGCCCTCCTTCGGGACGGGGTGTGTCATCTTGGGCTCGGACGGACGAAAAACACAAGTACGATTTTACATTTTTAATTTTGCAATTTAGTTTTTCCAAAAGGATAAAACTGTTTAAGATAACAGTTACATCCTTTCTGAAAGGATAATATTGAATGGGCACAACTATTGCAAAAACACCGTTATAAATGGTTGTGATATCAGAAACAAAAACCACACAATTTCAATCGCTTTTCCATTTTCGCTTTCATAGAGAAACACATAGTAAATTTGTCAAGAATCCAAGTTCGAGTGCAAGAACTTGGATTAGATAGTTGTATCCTGCAAGATAGATGTTCGTGAACTACTGCACTGGTGTATGAGCGTATTTATGTCTTAGGAGATTGCTACTGTAAGGCTGTAAGCCTCTATCTTCCAAAATCAAGTTAGTGATTTTTGTTGTGAATTTATATACAAATCTATTTAGTATTCATATTCTGCTATAATGAATATATATAGTGAAATTATAATTTGAAATAATCTGTACAATTATTACATATTATATAATTGATATTTGATTTATTCTAACATAAATTGTATAGAGTTGTTAATTTTTTCCTAAACTTTAATTTTAACCGATTACCTTCCTAAAATTCATTACCAACAAAATAAGAGAAAATTTTAGCAATGGTCCCTTTAAGCGTTGATCTCTCAACTAAAAATTTGTGACCATTGGTCTCTTAACTTATCAAAACGTGCAGTCATGGTCCTTTTCGTCAACTCCGTCAGAACCTTTGTCAAAATAAGTCATGGTGGAAGAACCATTGCTACAGTTGTTAAAGTTAAGGAATCATTTCTCCAATTAGATTAAAGTTAAGGGATCATTTCCCTCTTTCAGTTGACGGTTATTGTTCTAATTTCGTTAAAATTGAGGGATCATTGCTACAATTTTCTTACCGAACAAACGTACACAAGTAGAGACTCAATCACAAGATAAGCACAACACGAAGAAATGAACCCTTAAAACAAAACAAAACAAAACAAAACCCTTTAAACAAAACAAAATAGAGCCTAAAACACACAAAAAACAAAACAAAAAGCAAAACACAAACCTAGCAACTTGCAACCTGCAGAAAAACTTTTCAGACAACTTATTTTACCTTTTAAAACTTCCACCGCTCTGCGTGCTGGGTGGTTAGGGCCTTGTCCTTATTTATTGTCTACTGGATTCAAGCTCTCTATATTCCACTCATTTTTTTGTAATATAAATTTGTTCGTCGCAAGAATCTCCTGGCGGACGAGCACACAGCTCCCCTGGGAGAATGGCGTCGGTTGAGGGTATCTGTCGTACTTCTGCTTTCTTCTCGGGCTCGCTCGGGCAAGCCTTTGTCGGGCAGATCTTGGTCGAGCAAGACACACTTCGGGCAAGGCTCGTCGGGCAGTTCTGAAAGAGAAGGACAGAGTTAATTTGAAAGGGTGCCTTTGTGGGGCCTTAGATGTAGGCCTTAAGGCTCACAATCAAGATTAACTTTGTCGTGCTCAGGCGTGCCACTGCCATCTTCAGTATGGCAGATGTTGAATGGGTGTTAAGCTTTGATTGAATATGTATACGCCCGAGAAACCAAGTTAGATATAACAGGTGCCTTTATGAGGCCTTAGGTATAGGCCTTGAGGCTTCCTGTCAAACTAAACCAGCGCTTGGATGTATCATATTTGGTCTTTTATGGTTGCCAGAGTCTTATCACTATTATACTTTTGATTATCTGAGTCCAAGAGGTAGGACGAACCCAAATGAGTGCCTTTGTAGGGCCTTAGGTATAGGCCTTGAGGCTTCCCATCAGAGTTAATCCTTATACTCGGACCAACTAGACCACAACATGAAATGAAGCTAAATAGATGCCTTCGTGGGGCCTTAGGTGTAGGCCTTGAGGCTTTCTATCAGAATTCACTCCCTGCTTAAGCCTTTTCTACGAATCAAGATATAATAGCAACAAAACGGAGAAATAGATTGATTACTTGCGCCCCAAGTAACTTCGGACTTCTCGCTTATCAAGGATTGTCGTGGATGGGTTGAGTCCACATAGAGTTCTTTTTTATGCCTTGAGGCCAAGGACTTTTAAACTGATCTTTAAATTACACGCCCGCCGGGCTTAAGACTTAGATCTGATTTGAACTCTGACACGATTCAGATCGGATCCAAGTGCTGAAGATTCATTTTCATTATGACTTTGCTAGAAATAACTTGTATATAACTGGGAATATATAACATGTTATTGTGCTTTTAAAAGAAAGAAAAGACAAAGACAGAGCAAAGATAGTCGGGTAAGTTTGAACCTTATCGGCCAAGGCTGAACTTCTTACAAAATCTATCTTTGTGGCTCTGTCAGAGGTCTGAAAGCTTTTAGAGGGGTTGATGGGGGAGAAGAGGATACAAAATGAATCGATACCACCATGAACAAGGTAGCAGAGCTATTACAGGGGTTTGGGAAGGTTTATCCCGAATGGGATGAAGGCTTGTGCTGACTACAGCTTCGTTGAAGGCAAATCTGGCTTGAGCAGAGTTTTGGCTTTTGTTTGTTTGTTTGAGTGTCATTAATTCTGTCTTCTCTTCCTCCTTTTATAAACGACTTCAGCTTGGGTTCCTGTAGCAATAGCGGTTGCCCGAATGCGGTTTGGTGATGACTCACTAGCTTTTTTACATGAATGCCACCAATAAAGTACTTTATTGGGCTGTGTAGTGACTGAATAACCTACCCGCTGTGGTCTTTGAGCAGGTAAGCAGGTGGCCTTTGTAACTTGTGCCCAGCCGAAAGCCTATTTCCTGCCTCCTAAGTTTTCCTCTGGGCTTTGGGTTTGGGCCGACTTTCTCTCTGGCCCAAAGTTCAGATTTTATCCCAAATAGTGCCCCATTCAATTGATGTTAAGGTTGGGATCCCAAGCGCCAACATTAATTGAATAACAGCATGCGTGCCCTTTGAGCTTCTTGCGACCTTTAAACTGCCTTCTGGTTCTCTATAAATTCTGGCTTTGGAAACCCTTTTCAAATCATCACCTCTTCTTCATTTTGGTCTTCACCCTTCATCCACCTTGAATCCTTCCGTCTCCTCACTGAGAAATGGGTTCCTCAGGTTTTGAGTGGAGTTTCCTGAAACTCCCCTTTCGTGAGAAAAAAAAGAAAGTTTTCACCTGATGATTGCTACCTCCAACACCTTTGGTCGATCACCCCTCTACCTCCAACACCCTTGGTCAGGAGGTCTCCTCTTGATGACTGATCTTCTCACAACTTGTGGTGATAAGTCGGGCTTCATCATCATACATGGTGAAGATCTTGTGGGAGGGTCCTCTACCAAGCTCATGTTGGCCGCACAACCCGATCACCTGATTGGGTTCAACCAAGAAGATAGCGGGAAACCAGTTGAAGACACCAACACTTTCAGAGAGGATCAAATGTAATACATAAGATTTGGTATCTTGTAATCTCATCAATTTGTCGACATGAAATAAGTATTTTTATCTATTTCTGCATCTCTGCCTTCTTTAAATGTTTGGATGAACAAAATACCGTATGTGAATTTCTAAGGTCCGTCCCAATCTGCTCCCTCTTTGATATAACAATCCCTAACATCCCATAATGTAGGACAATATTTCTTCAAGAATTTTGCATTAATAGGGTGTTTCTGCTCATTGCCTTCGAGGTCTGCTAGATAATATCCTCCTTTGTTCAAAACCCGACTAATAATAAAAGGACCTTCCCATGTCGGGCTCCATTTCCCGAAGCCACGCAGCTGAGCGCCTAGCGGGAGGACCGTTTTCCACGCTAAATCTCCTTCCTTGAAAGACTTTAACTTCACCCTTTTGTTATAAGCTCGGGCAACAGCAATCTTTCCTTCTTGAATCTGGTTCAAGGCTTCAATTCGGGCTGCATCCAGATCTTCAATACCTTGACACATGGCTTCGATATATTCTGCACTATACAACCCAAATTGGTTTTGAATTCTTACGGAACTGACGTTGATTTCCATAGGAAGCTCTGCATCTTGCCCGAAAGTCAAGGCATAAGGAGTCGTGCCTGTCCCCGCTCTTTTAGAAGTCCGGTATGCCCACAACGTGTTCCCTAGCATCTCATGCCACCTTTCTGGACTATCAATCACCATCCTTTTAATAATGTTGACCAAGATCTTGTTGCTAGCCTCTGCTTGCCCATTTGACTGAGGGTAGTATGGACTGGATTGGATCATCTTTATTTTGTACTTGCTTGCAAACTCTTCAACCTCCTTTGAAATAAAAGATGGCCCACGATCCGTTACTATAGTTTCAGGCACCCCCATACCTGTGCAGGATCTTTGGTCTCAATAAAATTCTTGACCACGGCTGAAGTTATGGATTTTACTGCCGATGCTTCTACCCATTTAGTGAAGTAATCCGTTGCCACAATTATGAAAGTATGTCCCTTACTAGAGGCCGGATAAATCTGCCTGATGAAGTCCATTGCCCATCCTCGGAACGGCCAAGGCTTGACCACTGGATTGAGAGGTACTGATGGTACGTGCTGGAGAGGTCCATGTCTCTGACATTCTTCACATCCGCGGGCATATGACTTACAATCTTTTTCCATGTCGGGCCAGAAATAACCATACCTTCTGAGTAGCCATCTCATCTTTGTTCCCGCTTGATGTGCTCCACATATTCCCTCATGTACTTCGGCCATTACTCTCATGGATTCCTCTAGGCCTAAGCATTTTAATAGCAACCCATCTGGGGTCTTTCTCAACAGATTTTTTGTCCACAAGACATACTTGGTTGCTTGCTGCCTGTTCTTCTTACTTGTGGGTGAAGAAGGATCTTTCAGATACTGAGTAATAGGTGTCCTCCAATCTTCCACCTCGGTCTCTAGAACCATTACATCCAGACTGAACCTCCGATCTAAGATAGAGGGAAGGTTTCTTGTTTGGATCTCAACATCAACACCATACCTCATTTCTTGCGTTGGCACTCCTGAAGCTAGTTGCGCCATTTCATTGGCTGCCAAGTTAGATCCCCTAGGAATGTGATTGACTGATATCTCAGACTCCCACAAACTTAGCAGTTGTGTTGCTGCCATATAGTACCCTGCCATAGTGATATGTCTGCATTTGAACTCGCCATTTAGTTGATTTATCACTAACTCTGAATCACCAAAGATCTCTACTTCAGTTGCCCCCAAGTTCATCAGGATTTCCAGGCCGATAATCAATGCCTCATACTCCGCCCGATTATTGGTATTTTCTTGATAATCAAGTATGAAGGAATAGTAATGATAAACCCCTTGAGGGTTTATAATCACAATTCCAGCTCCTGCTGCCTTTTGAGTGTAGGATCCATCGAAATATAGCTTCCAAAGTGTAATCCAAAGACCTGCTACTCTCCTTATCTCTTGCTGGATCCAATCTTCTTTGCCCGAAACATCACTTCTTAGTGGGATCCATACATTAGCAACTTCTAAACTTCCCGGGATATTGATTTCCTCGCTTTGAGACTCCTGATGTTCGGTCAGGAAGTCAGCAATTGCCTGGCCTTTGACTGCCCTCTGGGGTATGTACTGAAAACTGAATTCTGATAATGCTAGAATCCACTTCCCAATCCTCCCTGCTAGCATAGGTCTTGACAACATATACTTTATCACATCTGTTTTGGCGATAATGTGCACATGACAAGGTAGCATGTAATGCCTTAGCTTGCTGGCAGTAAAATATAGAGCCAAACACAGTTTTTCCACCGGAGAATATCTTGTTTCTACCTCGGTCAGAATTCTGCTGAGGTAATACACAGCCTGCTCTTTTCCTCCTTCATTATTCTGGGCTAGTAGACTCCCAATTGATCTTTCCGATGCAGAAATATATAGTTTCAATGGCTTTCCCCTTTGAGGTGGCACCAGCACTGGTGGGGAAGTTAAGTAAGCCTTGATGCTATCGAATGCCTGCTGGTGGGTTGGCCCCCACTCAAAATTCTCCCTATCCTTCAATCTTAGTAGCGGAGTTAGTGGCTGGATTTTGCCCGCCAAATTGGCAATGAATCTCCTTAAGAAGTTGATTTTACCTAGCAATCTCTGAAGCTGTACTTTGTTGGTAGGTGGAAGTGACTCTAATATTGCCCGAGACTTATTTTTGTCCACCTCCACACCTCTCTGATGCACCAAGAATCCCAAAAAATTGCCCGCTCTTACTCCAAAAGCGCATTTCTTTGGATTCATCTTCAACTTGTGGATCCGCATCCTCATCAATGCTTGCTTGAGGTCCACGAGATGCTGCTCTTCTGTCTTAGATTTCACCACAATGTCATCGATATACACCTCCATGCTTTGGCCAATTAAATCATGAAAAATGGCATTCATTGCCCTTTGATACGTGGCGCCTGCATTTTTGAGCCCGAATGGCATGACCAGATATTCATATGCCCCCACATGACCAGGACATCTAAAAGCTGTCTTATGAATATCCTCTGGCGCCATCTTTATTTGATTGTAACCGGCATTTCCATCCATAAACGATAAAACTTTATGCTTTGCTACAACATCTATGGATAAGTCAGCCATGGGCATGGGATATTCATTCTTTGGTGTGGCACTATTAATATTCCTATAATCAACACAACACCGTACTGCTTTTGTTATAGCTTTTAAAACGGGTACAATGTTGGCTAGCCACTCTACATATTTGGCTGGTCTAATAAAGCCAGCTTTCACCAGCCTTTCAATTTCTTCTTTGACTTTTTCTTCTATCTCCTTTGACATCCTTCGTGGTGCCTGCTTGACAGGTTTATATCCTTCCTTGATGGGCATTCTATGTTCCACCAAGGCTGGGTCTAATCCTGGCATCTCGGTGTAATGCCAAGCAAAACAATCTTTGAATTCTTCCAAAAGAGAGATAATCTTGGCCCGATCCTCAATCCTTAATAAACCGCTGATTTGAATTGGTCTCGGATCCTCTTCTGTGCCTAGATCAATAACTTCCAATGGATCCTGGACTTCTGGAGGTGGCTTATCAGGTTATGCACACAAAAATTCAACTAACTCCGGGTTCTCGGGCAGACCGTCTGGCTCGTCTATATCGTAGACGCATTCGGCCATTTGAATGGCCTTATCTAACTCTTCTGTGCAAGATTCTTCCTCATTTTCCTGCTGGCTGGTAGAAACTTTCCCCTGCCACTCCTGCTCTTCTTTATCCAAGAGCTTTTCTTCCTGTCTTCTTCCCTTTCCATACACCAACAGTCTTTTAATCAGGGATCTGACTGCCATGACCTGATCTTTCTTCTTTTTGTTCGATCATTGATGGTATAGAGAGTTTGGTATAAGACAGGGTCTCTCCCACTCCTCCTTGGTAAGGAGCATCCCTTGTTCTAGAAGCTTTCGGGCCGTCACCTTGGTAGGGCGGCCGTTCTCATCAGCTCCTAAACATTTCAAAATTCCCACGTTGGGATTGTAGAAATTTGCTTCTGCAACATTAGCTGAGGGGAGGAACGGCCGTGATTCGGCCTCTACCAACTCCCAAAAGCTTGATCCTTCAGTATTTGCCTCGTGGTATACAGCCACTTGTTGATGAAGAGTAGAAGGTATGGCTAAACTTTGATGAATCCAATCTCTTCCAAGTAGGGCCCCGTAAGTGGAAGTGCAGTCTACTACAAAGAACGCCAACATTATTTTCTTGGACCCCAGATCTACCTCCAAAGGCAATATCCCATGAGTCCTGGTGATGGCACCTGAAAAGCTTGAGACTGTAAGGTTTGTGGGAATAAGATCGTCAGTGCTTCTCCCCATCCTCTTCATGTGTTTGGCTGGCAATATGTTAACAGCCGCTCCTCCATCAATCAAAATTCTTTTGAAAGGTACACCTTCTAGATGAGCTGAAACGTATATAGGCTTCAGGTGGTTGGCCAACGAAATACTTGGGCGGCTGAACACCATTTTATCTGTGTAAATCCGTAGGGGACCACCTTTAGGTACTTTTGAGGATTCAACCTTGCCTGAGTCTTCCTCTGTAACTACCTCCACATTGACGTGAGCCATCATCGGCTCAGTTGTTAAATAATCACCTTCCATGGTAGCGGGCTGGTCAGGCCTGGCGCCAAACATGGCGGATAATACATACGTCATGTTGATGTGGAAGTTGCTAGGTTCGAGCAAGTCCTCTTTCTTGCTCCCAATGTGATCCATGAACTCGTCTAACCAGGCCATTGCATCGGCTGGTAGTAAGGGCTCTGGTATCCCTTCCTGTTGTGGTTGATTCATGTCTCCGTACAGCGCTTGCTTTGGAACTTCACCAAACGGATCCAAAGGCAGAAAGGTTGGTCTCCTCTCAGATGCAACAGTTTCCTCATGGGTGGGCCCTGGCCTCCAACCAGGTGTTGGCATCATAGTCAAATCTTCCTGAGCCCTTCTTAAGATCCTATACTTGCCAGGATGTTGGCTTTGTGGCATATGATTCCCCATACCCTCCGTCTTGCCGTTGGCCCTTTCTACTTCCTTCTTACTTCGCCAACGAAGCTGACTACTACTTCCAGATGTTGCCCTTTCTGGCTTTTGATTTTTTGAGGCTTCAGAGGTGATGGGGGTCATCAGGGAATTCATGTAGGCTTTGTGCTGCCTTTGAACCCTTCTGACCATGGATGCTCCCATTGGTCTGGTGGGCTGCCCATCTTTTCCAACTACATACCATTTCCGCCCACGATATGCAGAAGTTGCTTTCTTAACAGGATTAGCTATCCCATCAGTTCTTCTGACTTCCTTCCCCTTTTGGCCATTTTGAAGCTGCTCTGTACTTCTTTGGAGTTTGGCTTCCATGTCCTCTGCCTTGTCAGAAACTTCATAGTTTCGAAATACTTCTGACAACGCCTTGGGTTGGGAATCACCTCCTAAACGTTGAAAAACGCTTCGGGAAGTATTTTTTCTTGTTGCCTGCTTAAGCCTTTCGCGGGCTTCTCTTTTAATTAACTCGTGATCAATAAGGACTCCAGCTGGGGGAATCTCGAGTTCACATTCACACTGGCATTTACTGCACATAACCAGCCTTTTGATTATGGCAGCCTTTGGGTACTCGGATGGTTTGCCTATCCCTTCCGTAGGTCGTTTGGCTAGTTTCCCTTCTTCTTCTTCCCTTATAATTTTCCCTTTTCCTTTCTCTGCCCAGGTCATGTTGAGCATGTTTACCGGGGCTTCAGAAAAGGGCAACACAGGGTTGACTATGACTACCTCATCTGGTTGGGTAGTCCTGTGTCTTTCTCCTTTGGGATGAGCCAAACCTGTCTCATTTCTAGAGCCTAGGGAGGCTTCATTCAGTCTCTGTAGCATTTGAAACAATGTATTCTGTAAATCTTCTGGCATGTTTATCTTTATCTTCAGATCAGTGGATCCCACCAGGCGTGCCAAAACTATGTTCGTCGCAAGAATCTCCTGGCGGACGAGCACACAGCTCCCTTGGGAGAATGGCGTCGGTTGAGGGTATCTGTCGTACTTCTGCTTTCTTCTCGGGCTCGCTCGGGCAAGCCTTTGTCGGGCAGATCTTGGTCGGGCAAGACACACTTCGGGCAAGGCTCGTCGGGCAGTTCTGAAAGAGAAGGACAGAGTTAATTTGAAAGGGTGCCTTTGTGGGGCCTTAGATGTAGGCCTTAAGGCTCACAATCAAGATTAATTTTGTCGTGCTCAGGCGTGCCATTGCCATCTTCAGTATGGCAGATGTTGAATGGGTGTTAAGCTTTGATTGAATATGTATACGCCCGAGAAACCAAGTTAGATATAACAGGTGCCTTTATAAGGCCTTAGGTATAGGCCTTGAGGCTTCCTGTCAAACTAAACCAGCGCTTGGATGTATCATATTTGGTCTTTTATGGTTGCCAGAGTCTTATCATTATTATACTTTTGATTATCTGAGTCCAAGAGGTAGGACGAACCCAAATGAGTGCCTTTGTAGGGCCTTAGGTATAGGCCTTGAGGCTTCCCATCAGAGTTAATCCTTATACTCGGACCAACTAGACCACAACATGAAATGAAGCTAAATAGATGCCTTCGTGGGGCCTTAGGTGTAGGCCTTGAGGCTTTCTATCAGAATTCACTCCCTGCTTAAGCCTTTTCTACGAATCAAGATATAATAGCAACAAAACGGAGAAATAGATTGATTACTTGCGCCCCAAGTAACTTCGGACTTCTCGCTTATCAAGGATTGTCGTGGATAGGTTGAGTCCACATAGAGTTCTTTTTTATGCCTTGAGGCCAAGGACTTTTAAACTGATCTTTAAATTACACGCCCGCCGGGCTTAAGACTTAGATCTGATTTGAACTCTGACACGATTCAGATCGGATCCAAGTGCTGAAGATTCATTTTCATTATGACTTTGCTAGAAATAACTTGTATATAACTGGGAATATATAACATGTTATTGTGCTTTTAAAAGAAAGAAAAGACAAAGACAGAGCAAAGATAGTCGGGTAAGTTTGAACCTTATCGGCCAAGGCTGAACTTCTTACAAAATCTATCTTTGTGGCTCTGTCAGAGGTCTGAAAGCTTTTAGAGGGGTTGACGGGGGGAGAGAGGATACAAAATGAATCGATACCACCATGAACAAGGTAGCAGAGCTATTACAGGGGTTTGGGAAGGTTTATCCCGAATGGGATGAAGGCTTGTGCTGACTACAGCTTCGTTGAAGGCAAATCTGGCTTGAGCAGAGTTTTGGCTTTTGTTTGTTTGTTTGAGTGTCATTAATTCTGTCTTCTCTTCCTCCTTTTATAGACGACTTCAGCTTGGGTTCCTGTAGCAATAGCGGTTGCCCGAATGCGGTTTGGTGATGACTCACTAGCTTTTTTACATGAATGCCACCAATAAAGTACTTTATTGGGCTGTGTAGTGACTGAATAACCTACCCGCTGTGGTTTTTGGGCAGGTAAGCAGGTGGCCTTTGTAACTTGTGCCCAGCCGAAAGCCTATTTCCTGCCTCCTAAGTTTTCCTCTGGGCTTTGGGTTTGGGCCGACTTTCTCTCTGGCCCAAAGTTCAGATTTTATCCCAAACAAAATTAAAGTAGAAATATCGTTTGTATGAAAAAAATTCAACTGTTGGAATTGATACTTACTAAAGTAGCCACATAAATAAGTGGTTTCTAATGAAAAATTCTTGCGTAGGAGCTTTCGTTGGCGTTCCATGGGGACCTCCTACATTCTATTATAACAATATGGGTTTATGTGCGACTTGAATGTAGGGGTCTTTCGTACGTGTCTTGCACGGACAAGTAACGTGACACGAAAACATCCGCCATAAAAAAGTGTTTACTACCACTATGAAGTTGCGGTTTATTATATAATATAAGGTTGTGTAGAGAGCGTCTTACAAATAATATTGTATTACTAGCTCCAAAAACGTCACGATGGTTATAAGTTCATCCCAGCTAAGGGTTCATTTAATAATCATTTCCGTTTTTTTTTTCTTTTTGGAACAAACGATATTATCTACATTAAGGGAATGAGGTGGGCTTAACCTCATAATGGGCTAGTAATAATGTAGTTCAAATTTGCCTTTGGCGAGAATCGGATTTAAGACTTTTCACTTACA